CTGCGGTTTGTTGTTGTTGTTGTTAGGTGCCATCGAGTTGGTACCAACCCCTAGCAACATTATGCACAGCAGAACGAAACACTGCCCGACCCTGGGCTAACCTCACTACTGTTGCCACGCTTGAGTCCATCGATGCTGCCACTTGGCCAATCCATTTCGTTGGGGGTCTAAGTCTCTGTTTTTGGGCCAGGCAGCCCTGTTCTCCACACCCTTCCAAGGCAGGCAGGCGGGGGTTGAGAGTGGTGGTGCTTTAAATATGAAATGATTTCCCACAAGAAAGAAGCAGCCACGTTCTGCATGGTCCACTGGCGGTCTGGGATGGTTGCCCAGCACCAGCAGAGAGTCTAAACATTCCCAAGTTCATCTTGGGATCTAGGAGGCTGGCTAAATGACAACCCAGGAGTCAGCAGATCCCTAACCAGATCCTTCTCCACTCTCTCCCAGCTGAGCTTGGCTAAGGGGGGCTACCCATTCCAGCTTTCTAGCTGACAAGGTACCATAGAAAGACCATTGACTGGAAACCCCTAAAGGACATCTTTGGCTCTTTCCCATTTTGGGGTCTCCAGTGCCCCAGTGCTGTGCAAGTCTAGTTCTTGGTGCATGCTAAATTGAGTAGAACATCTAAGTTGGTGTCAGGGGGTAGGACAAGGGGTTGTAGGATCCCCAGGGATGTTAAGGACTACTCTTTAGAGGAGTAGAGTCTGGAGTTGAGCCTAACATTACCTCATCTGGAGAAGAGAAGGGAGCAGATGCTGGTAGGGAGTGTGGCAAGGGGAAGGGGTTCTATGAGTCATGAGGAACTTACATCACTAGGATAATTAGTCATGTGGCACACTAGGCCATTACTGGCAGAGAGGCCCATATACCAGGCCAGGTGAGGGCTGTGTCCTTGTATATGAAGAACTAAAGGATGCAAAAGCCAATAATGGGGAATGATGGGTTGGTCAAGATGCATTTGGGAAAATGGGCTACTTGGAAGGAAAAGGAAGCTTGATACTGACTTTAATTTATCTTAAGTTGTAAGGTGGTGGGTGGGACATTTGGCCTCCTTTAAGTAGCGTAGTGGTTATGAATCGGGCTACTAATCTCATGATCAGCAGTTTGAAACTATCAGCTGTTCCACGGACGAAAGATGAAGCGCTCTGCTTCTGTAAAGATTTACAGCCTCAGAAACTCTGTACAGGGTCGCTATGAGTTGGAACCGACTCTATGGCACATTAACAACAACAACTTCACAAGTGTGGAGAAGAATCAACATCAACAGTTCAAGGCTGATTTCTCTGAGATGGAGGTCAGGTATACTTTTCTCTTTCCAACCTTTTTATCATTCTAACACTAGCTGTCTCTCCCCAGGATACTTTCTAAGTCTCTGCTGGGTTTGATAATCCATTCCAATGGTAGTGGTTATGAATCAAGCTGGGAACCTCAAGGTCAACAGTTCAAAACTACCAGCTGTTCCACGGGAGAACAATGAGGCTTTTTGCTCCCATAAAGATTTACAGCCTCGGAAACCCTATACAGGGTCACTATGGGTTGGAACCGACTCCACGGCACATAACAACACTAGCTGTCCCTCCCCATGATACTTTCTATTCCTCTGCTGGGTTTGGTAATCCATTCCAATGGCCACACAGAACTCATAGACCATACTTACGGTGATGGTGTACATACTTACAGTGATGGTGTACATACTTACAGTGATGGTGTACATACTTACAGTGATGGTATATATACTTACAGTGATGGAGTGTATTAAGGGAAAGACAGTACAATTCGGGGTCAGGAATGACTCAGAAGTAACAGGAGCTACTCAGGATGGTTTTTGATCAGAACAGCTTTTGCTCATCCTCTGACTCCAGGTCACACTCAAGGCCTTCTAAGGCAAGCATTACTGCTCTTAGCTCTGTGGGCCAGCCAGCCCTGCTGCGGCCATCTGGCGCTGGTCTGCCTGCTCCTATGCTACTATTGTTCTTGCTGCTGGTGAAACCACTGCTTCTCTTCTCCTTCAGTCACAACTCATTCTTCTTTCTCTCTGTGTCTCCTTTTAAGTCTAACGGATGGCAAAACTGACCAATTCCCTTGTCAGGGTTCCATACACCTTGTTTGCATGGCTCCAACCCAAAGAGTTTCATGGACCTGATTTGTGTTATTTGCAATGCTGTCCAATCCCCTTGGCGGGTCAAAAGCACCTTATTTGCATAGTCCCAGCCAATCATTTTGTAGGAGTCACAAGACCATGCATGTTGGATGAACCATATTAAGCAATCCACTGCACTGTACTGCATAAATAATGAATTAAACGGCTGCCCAGTTGGGTTCAGAGAGGTGTAGCTGTGACTGGTCACCTTGTCTATTCACCTGGGCCCAGGTAGGTGAAAGCTCAGCCAACAACAAGCTCCATCTTCCCCAACATCTCAGGAGGAGCATTTAAGGTCAGACTCCCAATGACCTTAGCATTTCTTTCAAGACTAGGACTTGTGGATTGAGCTAGAGCAGAAACTCCAGGGGAGTCTGTTCAAACTCATGTCTAACAAAAGCACATCTCTGCACCCAAGCCCTGGAGGAAGCTAGCCTACTGACTTCTCCTGATTGACTTCCTATCTTGACTTATTTTGTCAAGACCTGTCCCAGCCTCCTAACTGCTGGTGACCTGTCCCAGCCTCCCAACTGCTGATATAATAGACAGCCCTTTTGGTCTGGACTCCGAAGATCCATGTTCCTCTCTGTCTCCCTACTACACTAGTTGACTGACCTTGTACATTCCATTGCTCTGGGCCTGACGACTCATCTTGAAAACAGGAAGACTATTAGATCCTACCACAGCAACCCAGAGTTGCTGTGAAGACCAACAGAGTCAGGTATATGTAATGTTGTTGTTGTTAAGTGCCATCGAGTAGGTTCTGCCTCATAGCAACCCTGCATAGGGTTTCCAAGGAGTGGCTAGTGAGTTTGAACCGCCAACCTTGTGAGTTCATACAGACCTTGCAGTCCAGGGCTTGATCCCACAGCACCACACCAGCACAGGGCTGGGTATAGAGCAGAAACTCATGAATGATTATAGTGTAGCGGTTCTGAACTAGGGGTGACCTCCCAGGGGACATTTGGCGGTGTCTGAGGACATTTTTGGTTATTAAAACTGAGGAAGGGGATGCTATGATATCTGGTGGGTGGAGGTCAAGGGTCCTGCTAAACATGCCCCAGCAACCTAGAACCCTCTGCTCCCAAATGTCAGTAATGCTGAGGTGAGAAACCTTTCTGTAAATGAATGAAAGTGTAACATTACCTCTGTACAGACAGACGTGGGCTGTCGTTCCAGACAGGCAAAGGAACAGTGGCTGAGACGTTGACCATCAAGATAACCATGCTGACCAAGAGCAGGGACCACGCCCAAGGCTGATAAGTTGAAAACATTTTATTTCAATTCTATCCTTGGAGGCAGCATAAATAATCACAGAAGACCACAAAGGTCAATGGGGAAAGCAAAAAGAAAGCTTAAGAAGTATGGGGAGGAGAAATGAGGACTTGCTGCTGGGCTGGGGGTGAGGAGACCCTGCTTTAGCTGGCTGGGGGCATAGGAGGTTCTGAGAGGAAAAGCCCAAGGGATAAGCAGGCTTTCTCCTTCCCAGTCAACCCAGAGGGGCTTGGGTCACCCTGGCCTTTGTGGCCAGGATGTCCAGCAGGGTGACCACAGGAAAACTAGGCGTGTGCAACAGAATGTGCCTAACAGATCCTAGGTACTGAGAGAGAAAGGTGGACACTCATTTTAGATCTCCAAGCCAGATCCCACCCCCAAACTGCAACTTCATTTTGAGAACAGTGTTTATGGACTCTGGAAAATGAACTGTGGAGTAAAAAGAAGAAAGAAACATGAAACAGATCAAATGAATGTGACCTCCCAAAGAGTGAGACCGAGGGCATCTTCTTTCCGGTTTCCTCATCTGTAAAATGGAGAGAATGCTCCCTACCTCCCAGAGGGGGTGGGAAGCTCAAATGTGTCAAATAACTGTGGAAACTTGAAAGTGCTCTACCGAGGTGAGGGGCTGTGGTCATTCTGTGTGTGTAAGGCTGTGAGTGGCTGAGAGGGTGCTGGACAGGGGGTCCCGTGAAGAGATCAGGGCCAACTTCTACCCTTCTCAGCCCCTGCTTGCAGGGGAGGGCGAGAGCAGAGGGTGGGAGCCAGGAAAACTTCAGGGCACTGAGTGTGAGGGGCCTCAAGTGGCTAGTGTGGCACACTGGCACTACTGGTGTTGGGCAGAGGGCAGAATTGGCTTCCAGTTCTTTCTCAACCAAGACTTGGACACTACTAGAGAAGCCCACAATGGGACTGGCATCTTAATACAGTGAGACAGGCCCTGACTCAGGCCTAGATACCCAGAATCCTGGTCCCAGGCTCACTACTGACCTGCTAGGACATTTCCACAGTGTGACCCTCATTTCTGTCATCTGTAAAATGGGGACACTAATCCCTATCCTGCCTGCCTCACAAATACAATAGGGAAAGGGTGCACAAGAGCATTGAAGAGAATCATGGGAAGGCAAGGGGTCATTATGGCCTTGGTGAGCAATCTTCTTAATTCCCTGAAGACAAGAGAGGTGGGGCCAGAGACAGAAAGGAGCTAGGCTGCTTACAACCCTGATCAGGAGACTCAGCCTTTCAGAGTTGTTGAGGGAAGAGAGGGATGTGGGGAGAGGGAAGAGGAACTTCAGCTGATGCCTACAAACACAGCTCACCCTTTGTGGGTCCATCAGTGATACTGTGAGCTCCAGTTGGGGGTGCTAGCGTGTCCTGGGAGCCCCTTTTGCAGGGGGAAGTTCAAGTCCTAAGTCTAGCTGGGATCCCTGGTTCACTGAGGGCAGCCCCTCAGAGTATCTGTGGTCTTTGCCCAGCTGAGGGCCAGTCCAGGCTCCCTGGGATCTCAAAGGGGTTGCCAGTAGTGGGTCTTCAGGAGAGGGGTCTTTTATTAGCATGAGGTCAAAGATCAGCTTCCAGTTCTTGAGGTGGTAGGTGGGATCCTCAGGCTGGCTCCCCAGCTCCAGTCCTGGTTCCATCTCTGGGGTCAGTGGACAAGGGGAAGTTAAAGGACGGAGTAGAAACAACGGAGAGATTGGCTTAGAAAACAGCCCAACCAGGGAGCTAAAGGTTCTTAGGGCTGTTGCGCAAGTTTTTCAGTTCCAGCTGGAGCTGCCGAATGCGGATGTCCTTCTGGGCCAGCTCCTCTTTCAATCGCCGAATCTCATCCTGCTGCCGGAAGAACATTCGGAGGAGCTGGGGTGGATGAGGAGAGGGGCCCGTGGAGGACCAGGGGGAGAGCACGTGAGAAGGTGAGTGGGTCTGCAGACTCCCCTGCCCCTCCCCCCCCCATCCCCAAGCTATTCTGTTCCAGACCTGCCCCTCTCTGCCCAGGGCCTCCCATCTAGGGTGACTCCCTGTCATTACCACTCAGGGTCCCTTCTGTACACTGAGCCCTCGGCGTCTACTTCCCGTGAGGTAGGAAACCCACGAAGACCTGCCTCATGGATGTAGGCTCTCTTAGCAAGGAGTGATGCCACACAGGCCAATTTTCCAAATATCCCAAACTTACCATTATGGGGTTCAAATCTAACATGACATTGACTATCCTACATGGAAACCTTCCTAAAACATTTTCCATCCTTTCCTTCTGACAGAGGCTCATGATATGAACCACGTCTATCTTTTCTTTCCTGATGACATGGGACTGTCATTTACCACCACTACCACTGGAAACGAAATTGATGCTATATCACGATGATATAGAATGTGCTCCAAATGGTTTTCAATAGCAATTTCTTTGGAAATTGATCACCAGGACTCTCTTCAGAGGTACCTCTGGGTAGATGGAACCACCAACTTTCTAGTTAGCGGTCATGTTGTTAACTGCTTGCACCACCCAGCGCCTCCAGGACTCTCAGACGACAGTGATTCATGTACTGCAGTTGTTGTTGTGTGCCATCGAGTTGGTTCTGACTCATAGTGACCCTGCATAGGGTTTCTGAGGAGTGGCTGGTGAGTTTGAACTGCTGACCTTGAGGTTCAAACCAACCTTGGGGGTCAGCTGTTTATCCTATAGTAGGTGGTCACGGCTTCAGCACAGGTATCTTGTTAGACCTTCTCTTCGCTGGATTAACCAGCCTCTCCATGAATGGTGCAATGAAAAAGCTGGTGATTCAAATCTACCCAGAAGTACCTCAGAAGAAAGGTCTGGTGATCTACTTTTGAAAAATCAGTCATTGCTAACCCAATGTCTACGCTGACACTCATGGGGTGTCAGAAGTCAGAGTCAACTTGATGGCAATTGGTAGTGATCATTCCTTCTGTAAAACACACTGACAGATGTTCAGGCAGCCCAGAGCCCTGGAAGCCAGCAGGCTCTACCATACATACAGGACTGCCATACCCTGGAGTTGATTGTGACCAAGAGTAGGCATGTTTGCTCTCAAACTTCCTGGTATGAGTTACATTAGTGATTATACTTGCTTTATTTAATTAAATATGGTAGAAATGGGTGGAATCTGAGCACAAAAGGAGAGTTGCTATTTCTATAAAAACTAAGTCAAATGTTTTAAAAAATCTTGATAAAGGGACTTTCCAAAACAACAACAACAACAACAACAGAAAATTGCTGCTGAATAAGAAATGGGTGATATAACCAGGAATGATTGACAAATACCCTGCACCTTGGTGGTTCGGGGTTCGGGTCTAGGGTCTAGGGTCTAGTGTCTAGGGATCAAGAGGGTCTACGGTCTAGGGTCTAAGGGTTCAGGTTCGGGTTCCGGGTTCCGGGTTCTGGGGTTAGGGTTAGGGCTAGGGTTAAGGTTAGGGTTAGGGTTAAGGCTAGGGTTAGGGTTAGGGTTAGGGTTAGTTGTGTTTACACAAGTGCATGTTTTTGTCAAGACTCATGAAACTATAGAGCAGACAGATGAATTTTATCATATGGAAATCATACCTCAATAAACCTGTTCAAAGAAGATTAGGGAAAATGTGGTTAAAATGAAGGTTTTGCTTTCAGATTGCCTTCAAATGCTCATTTCACCTGAAAGAATGGAAACTGAAGACTGGAGTTAATGTGTGCTTTCTATGAGAAAGACGCGGCCCATTGCAATTAAGAACAGCAACCTCAAAGAAGTCTCGGCTCTGCATTAAAAAGTATTGCTGTTGCTGTGACGTGCTGTCAAGTTGGTTCTGACTCATAACGACCCTGTATAGGCTTTCAGAGGAGCAGCTGGTGGGTTTGAACAGCCAACCTTGTGGATCACAGTCCAGTGCTTATCCTACAGCACCGTGCATCAAAAGATAGTGAGTTTTAAAAGAAAAGGTTCAAAGAATGAATGTATCATTTTTAAAGATTCCTTCCCTTAACTGACTTTGTAAAAATGAACCAACAAGGCAACGGCCCTTGTTATGGCTGATTAGCGGGACGAGATGCTATTTGCCCTTACGTTAAATGATTTTCTACTCCTGAGCCTTCCAAATTCTCAAAATTTCTTTGTCTGGTTTTTGGTCAGCTTACCAAAAAAAAAAAGCAGCAGCTTTATTGAGGTGTAATTCACACATCCTAAAATTCATTCATTTTCAGTATATCATTCAATGATTTTTAGTAAATTTACAGAGTTAGGCAACCACAAATCTCCTCCCTTGTACCGAGCTCTAGGTTGCCTTTACATACTTAGAGCAATGTGTCTACCTTTTACAACTCTGCTTTCTAATTGATGGCTTTCCATCTACTGTGATGGTTGGTAAAACTGGCAGCAGCAGACTCTGAGTGAGCGTCTCAATGGGGAAACTGCCTGAGCTTTGGTGTAGAGTTAGTGGCATGCATTTTATGTGACCAGAAACCCTTTTAAATTTTCCTCCAGGCTCTTAGTTCGGATTAACATAGACGAGTCTATAGCTAAATGTTACTCTATTTGACTACTATTCAAATATACTCTTTTTAACCCAGTGCCAGAGCCAAGTTTAGACCTTCACGATTATTTACTTGGGTAATCACAGCAGGCCACTGTACTTTCTCAGGTACTTTTTAATTCCTTTTTAGTTGCTGTAAAAATATAGAGAACGCAACACTTGCCAATGTCAGATTCTTCATGTGTACAGTTTAAGGACATCAATTGAATATTTTTAAATGAAACATGCCAAATATTTACAAATGTCAAAAGAATAGCTCTAAGAACCAGAGCTTGGATGCTGTCATTGCAGTTGGATCCTCTGTTGTGAGTTTGCATTTCTACCCCCAAAACTACTGAATGAGAAACTACACTTTAACATGCTCTCCAGGTGATTCTGCTAGATCCTCAGGTGATCCTTACGTTAAAATGTAGATTCTGATTCAGTACATTTGGGGTAGAAATGCAAATTCCAAGCAGGGAGAAGAACCAGAATGAACTGGTTTGGAGCCTTGCCAAGAACCCAAAGGTCCCCAGGAACCAACTTCAACAAATAATGTATGGTCCTTGTTTCATCTCTGTTCCCACTCCTTTCTTCTGCATCACTCCCACAAGAATTATTCTGAAGAAAATCCATGCCTTACATGATTTTGTCCAGTCCTAGAAATCTTAACATATCTCCATAAAAGCATGTAAAAAATATTTTATGACAATTATCAGTTTACCTGCCAATCTCCCCTATAAGACTGAATTCCTAAAGATGGTCTTATTTTTATTAATATTAACAATAATCATATGTTGGTATGACAAGCAGCCTCTAACATGGTCCCCAAAGATCCCACCTTCCAGATAGTCACACCCTTTTGTACTAGAAATGAGCTAATAATAAACAGAATATGGCAGAACTGATGGGATGTTACTTCCAAGATGAGATTATAAAAGACTGCAGCTTATGTTTTGGGTGCCCTCTCTTGTCCTCTCTCCCTTCACTTGTTGGCTCTCAGGAAGACCAGCAGCCATATTGTGAGCTTCTCTGTGGAGAGGCCCATGTGGCAAAGAACTGAGGGAGGTCTCTGGTCATCAGCCCATGAAGAAGTGAGGCCCTCAGTCCAACATCTTGTGAGGAAATGAATCTTGTCAGCAACCACATGAGTGAACTTGGAAGTTCCTTCCTCAGTTGAGTCTTCAGATGTAACTGTAGCCTGGCTGACAGTTTAATGGTAACCTCATGAGAGTCCATAAGCCAGAGGCATCCACAGAAAAACAGTGAGATAATAAATATATTTGTGGGTTTAAGTCCTTAAGTTTTTGAGTAATTAGCTATGCAGCAAGAGATAGTTAGTGTCTGAGCTCTTCAGAGGAGCCAGGAAGTCTGCTAGACACTTGGGGGTTATCTCTTTAATATCTTCAGTGTATCATCTCCCCATTTTACCACAAGGAAGCAGAAAGGCCAGGAAACTTGCTTGGTCATAGCCAGAAAATGACAGAATTAAACATAGGTGGGTCCACGGAACCATCTCTACTTCAGCTGTATCAAGTCTAGTACCTGGCTCATGGTCAGTATTCTGTGAATCCGACAGAATTGAATTGTATTTGCGCTAGTGACTGAAGGGTGAGTTGGAAGGAGAAGTATTTGGGGCCTGAATAAGGCCCAGTTATAGTTGTGGTCCTGGTGTGGTGCTGTGGGATAAAGCACTGGACAGCAAGGTCGGTGGTTCAAATTTACCAGCCGCTCCTCAGAAACCCTCTACAGGGTCTCGATAAGTCAGAACCAACTCAACAGCACTTAACAACAACATAGTTGCTCCTAAGCAAGCTACTCCTCTTTCAAATGGTGCAAAGGACACTTTCTTTCATAAGCACTGGCCTCTTCCAGAAAGACAGGAAATTGTCAGATCCCATCACTGCCAAAACGCCAGGGAGGTCGGCAGTGCTGCAAGGCACACCACCAGGCGTTTACTCCGATTCGTTGAGAATTTATAAACACCACATGACAGCAACCTTCTGAAATGGATTCATGAGGAGACAAGAGACGCTGGGGGTTAGTGAATCTGAGGTTTGGGGGGCACCAGTATCCTCCTGATAGCTCTAACCTCTATTTATTAGAGTCAGAGGCAATGGAAGCCAATAGCTGGCTACGTATGGTATTTGTCACAGGAAGAAAAATGCCTTGGACTGGAGCGGGTTTACAGGCCTGAAACCCATAATTGGAATGTAAAGGTCTTGCTCTCCCAGGGCCTGCGGAGATAATAACTTATATTCCTTACCTCATTCTCTGTCCTGGGTGGGACATTTTCTAATAAATCTATCCCGTTGACTAGCACACTCTTCTTTTCTTTGATGGGAGCTTTAAATACCATTTTGGAGGACTTCTTATAGCCTTCTTTCAAAGACATCAACACAGGATCTAAGAAAGGCAAGGGAAATGTTCTCACTGACAGTTTGATGAACCGGTCAGGCAACGGTGTCTTTCATTTACATCAGATGTGACAGTCTCTCAAGGATATGGGAAGTCTAAAGATGCAAGGGAAAACGGGGGAGCTAGACAGAAGGCAAACGTTGAAGTCTCTTAGCTGGTTCTGTGGTTGGGTATGGTCAGGTTGAGTTGGGGGTCTTGGCATGCATATGGTCTTGGTGTTTGGACCTTGGGAAGTAGATACCAAGATGGCGGGAGGGTGCTGTAGGACCACACAAAGAAGATAAGACACTGCTGAGACCTCTGAGAGCCACACTTCTGAACCAAGTCTTACTCCTTCTCTCCTTCTGCTAACAATAATCCTTATGGGATATAGTATGGTGACAAGAAGTGGCTTGAACTGGGCTGGGCTTGGGAAAGATTTGACAATGTGGAAATGTGTGAAAACTTCCTTAGCTGTACCTGTGACCTTTCTTTGTTCTCATGAGGTCAATCAAATCTAAGATGTGCAGACTACCCTCTGCTCCTGAGGGCTCTGGAGAGAAGGGTGGGGAGTAGATGATGAGGATTCTGGGGGTAGGACATCGGCACTTTGGGGGACACCAAGTTGTTTGATAGCTTCTCCTTCTATGCAGACACCACCAGGTCAACCAGTGGCCATGTCCAATCCTCATTGCTTTCAATTCCCACCACCTCCTCCTGGCTTTCCCAATTCTGGGCAATGGGTAGGGGGTGAGACAGCCCATCTCCCCTATTCACAGAAGAAATTCAATATAAAAAGAACAAGGTTCTAGAAGGGAGAAACAAATTTGCTAGCACCAGTCCCCCTCTGATATACAGTGCTGGAATGGGAGAAGTAGGCTGCTCTGGTAGCCAGCAGAGAGCCCAAGCTGGAGGCAGGACAGGGACCTCGGAAGAACTAGAGTTACATGTTGTGCTTGCTTCCCCACTGCCAAAGTCAGGAAGCTGTAGGACCAACTTAAAAGCAATGCTTTCTTACCCTGGCTGTTTGGCAATGCCTGGCTAGACAGAGCAATGTAAGAGCCAGGGGACTGCCCATTGACATGTTGAATGAACCTGGGGGAGTCATGATACTTTGGAGTCTCCACTTCTTCATCTCTCAAGTGATACATAGAAGTCTTTGTGCTATTTATATTCCAAGACAATAGATTTTTCATTCAAAATCTAAATTTTCTGTAACAGAATTTGTTTTATCAAATTTGATCTCAACCACTGTATTGAACATCCTCGGCATAGTCTCTTTACCCATCTGCACCCCTTGCCTAGGTTGAGAGCCATTGGTTTGACTGATCTCTGAGATGATACCTCGCTCTGACTCAGAAATGAGGAAGATTACGGCACCAACAACAGCAATAATGATACACTGCAGTAGCTAACATATTGAGTAGTTAGAAGGTGCCAGGCATGGTGCCCAAGTCCTATACCTGGGCTGTTCCAGTGAATACAAGCCTAGGAAGTAAATACCAAGCATTCCCACTTTGTAGATGAGGAACCTGCGGCTCACTGAAGCCCAGTGACTTGGCTAAGGTCAGACAGGTGGTGAGCAATGCAGTCTGGGCTAGACTCTGTGCCCTAGTTTTCAATGATTTCAGAGCTGACTGTGCTTTTTCTCCATAAAACATTTTTTTTAACCCATTTTCATTTTTGGGGGAAAAGTTTTATTTAGGATTTTGGTGTCTATGAAGAAGGAAAGGAGTATGAGGGGCAGCCATGGTGCAGGGGGAAGGATGGACACTTGGGTTGACTCCTATGCCACACAGAAAGCTCTAGTTCTGCAAAGAGGAGGCCTGGAATCTTCGGACTGCAAGGCTGGAGGGTCACCTAGTGCAATCCTTGTTTTTAAAGCTGTACAGACTCAGTCCTGGAGCAGAGAAGAGGCTGCCCAAGTGAGCCCAGTGCTGGGCTGTTTTGGTGGCCTCTTGGAGGCCAGTAGAGGGCCTGAGCGATGCCCTTAGCAGCACACTGCCCCAAGCCAAGGTTCTCAGAAGTCCACCCTTTATTGTACCTCTGTTTATGCCTCCCAGCCATTCATCAGGGGTCAGAGCTGGCTCCGTTCCTGGCGTCATGGGGTAAATGTCTTCTTGGTAGGAATCCGACTGCAGCAAGAAGAGTAGACAGATGGGGGTGCTGCTGAGAAAACCATGCTCTGCAGCCAGACTCTTTCCTCACTGCCCCCAAGCCTCTACCCTCGCTGGTGTCTTCTGCTTGTAAGTTCCTCTCTGTATTCATTAGCAAGCCAAACTTCCCCACCCTCACTACAAAATGAGCCGGGAGATCCCTGTCCTGATGCGCTCCCTCTTCCTGGCTCCCCCAGGCCTTCAGTCAGTGGTGAGCTGACTAGGATTAAATGCAGGCGTCCTGGAATCTGGTTTGGCCACACTCACCCTTCGAGGTACAATCATCGAGATGGGTTCGATCAGACCTTTCAGAGTCACCAGCTTGTAGAAGCGGAACACCTCACACGCTGACACGTCCAACCCGTGCTTGGGCATGACCCCTGAGAACGGACACACAGTTCTCACAGGGTCTGGGACTCCCCTTGAGTGCCCCCCTCCCTCACATCCTCTGCTAATGGAAAAGTGTTGATCCAAATAGAAGACAGTGGGCAGGCTGGGCCTTCTAGAATTGGGCTGTCTCTGGGTGGTAACTTCTCAGATCAACCCCTTCCGGCCAGACCCACCTCCTCAAAGTTTGAAAAGTGGGCTATTTAGAACTGGAAAGGTCTGCAGAAATATGTGAGTTTAGTCCATTCCGTTTATAGCTGAAGGTCATAGGGGGAGAGGCTCACTTCAGGTGACAGAAGCAGAGTCACGGAGCCTGTCACCTGCTGAAATGAACAGGCTTTCCTAAACTGAGGTATCCCTGGTCCTCAGGGAGAAAGAAAGAGAGAGAGACTATTCCCCAGGACCCCAGAGGTTTCTATGTTAGTGTATGTCTTCCAAGGACCAACAATGTCTGTGTGTGTGTAGTTTGTGTGTATGCACCAACCAGAATGTTCCTACTGAAAATCTACTGTGAGGAGGCAAAGGAGCTCTGGTAGCATAAAGGTTACAAGTTGGGCTGCTAATCTCCAGGTCATCAGTTCAAAACTACCAGCAGTTCTATGGAAGAAAGATGAGGCTTTCTGCTCCTGTAAAGATTTACAGCCTTGAAAACCCTATACAGGGTCGCTATGAGTCGGAACCTACTCCACGGCATATAACCACCACCACCACCACCATGAGGAAGCAGTATGGTGTGAGGTGTATATATTTTGGAGCCAGATGGACCTGGGTTTGAATACTACCTCTGCCCTTCTTTCTGGTTGAGAGTCACCTACCTCCACAGCGAGGCCTTCTGTGACCACCTGACTAGATAGCGTAGCCTCCATCAGCGCATGTGATTCTGTAGAGCTCTGGTAGTGTAGTGGTTATGAATCTCACAGTCAGCAGTTCGAAACTACCAGCTGTTCCATGGGAGAAAGATGAGGCTTTCTGCTCCCGTAAAGATTTACAGCCTTGGAAACCCTGTTCAGGGTCACTATGAGTCAGAACCGACTCCACGGCACATTACAACAACAACAACAGAGCTTATTATCAGCTGATGATTTTTCTTATCCATTTGCGTATTGTCTGTCTCTCCGGCAGTGAGTTGTGGCCTGTTTTATTTGCACTGTAGCTATGGAGCTAGTATAGGATCTAGCACACAGTTGAACACACAAGTGTTCAATGAATAGCTTATTGAAGAAGCAGGAGAGGCAAGCACTATATACACATTGTCTCTAATCTTTGCAACAGCCTTGCAAGGTCAGTTTGATGATCTTCATTTTACAGATAAGGAAACTGAGACTCAGGGAGATTAAGTACCAAGCTAAGGCAAAATGTAGGCCCACGTTTGACTTCAAAGTCCAGGCTGCATGCTATATGATTTGATGAAAGAGTAAGGAGGAGGGAGGCGGGGATGATAGGCAGTTGGGCAAGTGTGAAGTCTGTGAATTGTCTTTGGAAACTCAGACATGCCTGTGGGTCTCCGATTTGGTGTTGGTCACTAAGCTGGGCTCTGGGGCTCTTCCAGCCCTGACATCCCTGAAGATGGTCCTCAAGCCTCATTTGTAATACTCGATCCACAGAGGGAACAAGTTAGATTCCAGCTCCAAGAAGCAGGATCACCCACAGAAGTGGGAACAGAGTCCTTGAAGAGGTCTTCCTTTTTTTTTTTTTTTGACTACTGGGCAATTTTGAACCCAAATACAGAATTCAGAGTCACACACACTGCTGGTGTTGGAAGGTATGAAAACTTACTTTTGTCATAACACTTTAGTGGCAGGAGAACATGAGGTCTGAGGGACATTTCTTTCCCTCATGCCAGCTCACTACATCCTTCCAGTCTTGGAGTCCTCTCTCTAGGGCTTTTGCCTGAGAACCTAGGAGCTTAAGGCAAGCTCAGCGTTACCACTCTGGGCTCTTTCCAGAGGCTGCAGGAAGGAGTCTGAGTCTAGTCCCTGCCCATCCCTTTAGTTCCTGGACCACCTCTCTCCAATGTCATAACCATTTTGGGCTTCAGTCCCCCCATCTGCAAAATGGGAATAAAGGCACTACATAAACAGTCTGCTGGATGGGCAGAGACGTCGTGGATGCCACGTACTATGGAATGGTGGCCCCGAGTGGCCCACTGGCTGAAGAATAACAGACCTGTAGGTTCTATTCTGACTTGATCATAGGCTGTGGCTTTCTGAGTCTATATGATTCTTCATTCAAAGACATGACTCAGAAATCATATGTCCAGACTCGTATTCTGCTACAAACAATTAAGGGCAAGAACTTTGGAGTCAAACACTTTGTTGTTACAGACTCTGTCACTTCTGAGTGAGTAAACTGGAGCTCATCACTTCTGTACTCTGAGCCTTGGTTTCCCCATCTGTAAACTGGAGAAAATTTCACTTCATAGGATGATGGGGGGATTTGGTGAGATATAATACACGTGGCACAAAGAAAGTGTTCATTAAATGGTAGCTGCTATTATTAACTAGATGCCCCTGGTGGCGCAAACAGTTAAGGACTCAGCTGCTAACTAAGACGTTGGTGGTTTCAGTTTATCTGCAGGTGCCTCCAATGAAAGGCACTTCCAAAAAATCAGCCCTTGAAATTCTTATGGATCACAGTTCTACTCTGACATGCATGGAGTTACCATGAGTTGAAATCATCAGAGCGACTGTTTTGTTTCTGGTTTACTAAGGAGCTCACTCCTCCTGGCTCTGACACATGTGTGCTGGTAGGGTAGTGGCTATGAGTCGGGCTGTTAACCTCAAGGTCAGCAGTTGGAAACTACCAGCTGTTCCATGGCAGAAAGATGAGGTTTTCTGTTCCAGTAAAGATTTACAGCCTCAGAAATCCTATACAAGGTCACTGTGAGTTTGAATCTCCTTCATGGCACATAACCACCACCACCACCACCACCGTTACTAACTAGGGAGTTGTTGTTGTTGTT